GATGTTTTTAATATAAAATAGCTACGAGTACTTGTCAGTTACGAGTAATGGATTAGAGTGGAATTTATATATGTTTTTTTTATGGATTTCAATCAGAACGTTCTGTAGGTTATCTGTAATTTAACAGAACACTTTTGAAATGTGTACATTTAACTTTCGATCAAAGCTGTTAAATATTCACAGCACACACGGGACTTAAATAAACAGTTAAACGTTTAATTTTAATAAATATCAATTATTTTAGAATATTTTGCTTAATAAATATTATTTTTAAATTTTTTCAAATGTATGAACACAAACTTATTTATTGAAAATCATAACACTATACTAAAATTAGTCGAAAGGTAAAAATTGAGAACGTAATAACTACAATAATTCAGTGGAAAACAACTGTTCCGCAATATACTGTTGATGAACGACTCAATTTAACAAAACCTTTTGTTTTCCGTAACCACATTTTTGAATTATTTATAGAAGTACATATACGGCTTGATTTTATCCTGGTACATGGTTCTCCAGATTTTTCCTACGATGGTGGCCTCTTTTAATAATCACCGTACATCATGCGAGACATGTTTGTGCGTGCAGTTATCTAAATTGAATTATGAATTGTGTTAAGACATTTTTCACAGCAGATTTCAGAATTGTCTAACTTAGATATTGTTTTACTGTTCAAGCTATAGTTGCTATTGTCAAGCTATAAAATTGAATTATTTGATAATTTACTTTAAATTTTATATTCAGGTACAGGCAATATTTATTTACTATATTTATGTTGTAAATGGTTGATAATTTTCGTAGTTTCTGTACTTACTAGGTCAGTTTATTTCAGCAACATGATACAATAAAATATTAAATATAATATTAAAATTATTTGAAAAATATTAGCTTGAGATAAATCTGTATTATTATGTTATACAACATTGACTACTTATCGATTTCAGAAATTTCGTACACGATAGTGATTCATATGTACATTAGAAGTCTTCCGTAACTGACCACTACTAATAAATTTACAATTAAATTTTAAAATATAAATCATATACTAATTCTATACTAATAAAATTTGTGCTAAAAAGATCATATATTTATTACAAATTATACTTGTAATAAAAATAAAAGTAGCTTCTATGTGCCTCTAGTTGCTCCCAATCGCTCCTACATGCTTCCCCTTGCCTTCAGTTACTCCCTCCTCAATTTTACCGTGTTTGTTCAACTCTAAAAGGCAGATTTAACTCTAAAATAGGTTGAAGATAAATTATAAAGGAGCGCATGTAGTAAAACACTTTAAGCAGAAACACTCTATACAGTTCTAAAATCGTCTTCGTTGTCCAATCACGTTTCGTCGTCTCTAGCGTACCCTTTGAAGCTTTACACCTTTCAGAATATTTCTACGTGCAGCAGTTTTTTAATGAAAATTCAAGGCAGACGAAGACTTCCTGAAAAGCCAGCCACCATCTAGCACAGGGTTAGGAATCTTCCACCATTAACTACGCCCTTTTTCATGAGTGCACCACCAAGGTGAAGGCGTGATTTTACCTTTGTCCTCTGGTCACGTACACCGACTCTCTCCATTCCTTGATGCTTTTGGATTCTCACAGGGAATAGAACTTTTGCGAAACGGTCCGGTTCTTCCTGGCTCTTATGAAATTGCAAAAGGTTTTCCGGAGGACAACGTTCCTACAAAGCAATCAATGTTTCCTTTATTCTTCCCACTGAATGCGTCACATAGACATCTCATGAACTTGCATTTCGCTATTACACAAACACTTGTTTTTCAAGTATTCCTTATATTTAAGAGTGCAAAAGTTAGGTCAATTTCTGTCAATGAAGTCTCAAGAGGTACCACCTGTTTTTAGTATTTTTTCTTATTTTCTATTTTTATGTTCAGAGTTTTTGAGGAACATTTTTATGTTCACTTTAACTTTGCTATTAAACGATATTTCAGATACTTTCATACTACGTACAATTTTGCTTATCAAATCTGTAGTTGTGAGTACGCGAATAGTACGGATAATTAATAGTAATTGAATAGTAAAAAATTAAGTACAATAAAAATTTATCAAAACAGTGTAATGTGTAAGTATTAGACATACACATGTCTATGTCTTGAAGAACACAATTCCTTCAAACCGTGGTCAACCGCAGAGATCGAATTTGCATAAAGTAGTATGTACTTTGCGCGAAAGTGTTGATCAGGCGCTCGAAGAAAAGCGTGGAAAACAAATTCGATGAAATTTAAGTGGATCGGCAGCTGTGTCGCCTGTGGATCTTCCTTCTTACACGATTTTCCATCTATTTCTTTCTCTTGAAGATGACCTCACCACTTTCTGCTTGCAGACATTCTAGACCGGTGCTACTTTGTGAAGGTGATCTATGTATTGGATACTACAGAATGTTCCTTTGGTATTTGAACCTTGCTATCTCTTTCTTCACAAATATTCCCTGTCACATTCAATAACTTTTCCAACGCGAGTGAATTTTTATAAAAACCTTTGTCGAAAAAATGTATCAGATTTTATATTCTTCTGAATACTGTTCCCACAGATAGAAATATTACTGTCGGATTCGTGTCATTATCCTTCGAAAAACGTATACTTTAATAATTTTTTGAGGATAAAAATAAGCGATGGTCGTATGGAGTCTATTACTGTCGGTTTCGTGATTATCCTTTGAAAAGCGTATCCTTTAATAATTTCCTAAGGATAAAATAAATGGTGATCGTTTCGAAACTGTATCACTGTCGGTTGTGTCATTATCCTTCGAAAAACGTATACCCTTTAATAATTGTCTAGGAATAAAAATGGTGATCGTACAGAAATTCTATCACTGTTGGCTTTATATCATTATCCTTAGTAATATCCGTTAATAACTACCTGAAGATAAAAGATAAATCGTATGGAGATTCTATCATATCCTTATAAAGACCGCTGTACGTTAATACTTTCCAAAAGATAAAAATAAATGGTAACCGAATGAAAATAAGTTCGATTGATGGAAAGCAAATTTTTCTTTCGAATTCTGTATATTTTTCAGAGTTATGACTCAGCAATCTCAAAGCTTTGATAAAAGTTCTTTCTTTTGAGTTGTGTAGGTTTGGTATTCATATGTGACGATTCAAAATGAATTCTTACTGCTGTCCACCATTCATAGAGAAAAATTTTTCTCTGATAAAAGTCCAATTTAGACATCCCGAACTGGTTTCCTGGATGATAACCAATAACGGTCGGTTTGTACAGGTTATATCACAATATATGGACATCATTTCGCTGCTGAATTTAGTATTTATAAATATTTGCATTTTGATGAATATGAATCTATTCTATTGATCAATTAAAGCGAACACAAAATATTGCACTATAATAAATATTTAGATATTTTATGTGGAAAGAATTTATTTATAAAATGTAACGACAAGTACAATTTTAATATTTTATTGCAAACTCTTTTGGTTTAATGACCTCATCGTTTAGGAATTTTTTCAAATATTCTGAAAAAATACAATGCCATACTTTTAACTGATAAATTTCTTGGTGTTTTTCTAATTCTTAGGTCTAATTGGTGGATGTAACACTTCTGAACAATTACATAAATATTCCTACAGTGTATTTAAATAAGAAGGTTTAAAAAAACCTTAAAAGTATAATAATAAACTCTATTTCTTTAGGGGGTAAAAGGTCTAAAAAATATTGCACTTCCATTACTGATATCACAGAGTGATAATTGACGTCCAGGCAGAAGAGGTGATAAGAAAAAAAGCTTGAATGCTTTGTTTTATTGAAAGACAATACCTTGACCCGCTTGGAACCGTAGCGACAAAAAATAATGATATGAAAATATGTGTACGTCGGTAAAGTGATCTGGGTAAAAAGTTGGAGGACCTTTTTGAAACACCTGATATGCCAGCGAAGACGTTGGCCGAAGGTAGACAGAAGAATGGAGGGTTGGGGTGCGGGCACTTGACGCAAGCAACCGGATGTTGGTGTAGATCGCGGTGAAGCTCTTATACTCAAGGGAGCCTTCTACGAGACCCATTGAGATTGCCACTCGGACCTCTTTCCCTGTCTCTCCTCTTATCTTTTTGTTGCTGTTCGTCTGGTCTTATGTGTCTTGGCTATATACGCTACTCAAGATAATGAAACACGTCATTAAGGGCGTCGCTTTGTTTAATCACTCTGATTTTGTTCTGGGACATGTGCTCCACTTTCTCAAGTAAGTTCATATAGGATTTTCGAGAGATTGTCATCAGAATTCTCCGAGTGATGAATCTTGTCTACCCTATGCGTTGAATCGTGTTAGAAATGAATTCCTCCGCTCGCGAAATTATTCATGATGCATGGGGATTATGACGGCGAAATTATTTCTGTGTATCATCCGTCTTTGTATTAGCAAGATGATAAAATACCTAGCTAGGACGTTTCACTTAATCAGCGTGCTGTTACAACTTCAGCCATTTGACCTTATTTCAGTCTCACCTTGCATCGTATAAAATTATGTTAGGGAGCTGTTCGTTTCTCAGTTTTCTGATGTTACTTTGAGCAAGCTCCAGATGTCTCTTATAATGCAAAGAGGGTCTTCGTATGTATATTTCATTCATTAGTGTGCTTTGTATATCGGAATTTTTTATTTCAGTTTTCCTTTAAAAATATTTAATGAAGATTTTTACTTTTCACCGTCAACGTGATATTTTAAATATACAGTAAAAATACTAATTAAACAGGTGTTTCTTGTTACTCAAATTCTTTATTAATACAATAATACGGTAATTAATATAATTGCTTTTGGCAGAAAAATCTCTATTTGCTTTTAATAGAAAGTCAGACAGTTAGTAGAATCTTTTTATTCTTACACCCAACATACTCCTAAACATACCTGTATGTCTATGGTTATGACTCCCAAATCTATGTTCCTAGATCTTTATATTCATAGACTTAATATTCGTCTTAATATTCCATGATTATGTTAATTGTCTATAATCTATTGCCCTAATTATTTCACAGGGAAGTTTGGACCGAAAACGACTGCTTCGGCAAAGCTGATATTACGCAAGAGGAGGAGTTCCTAGCACTGCGGGACATTTTCGTTGCAGACCTGGGCGGTGAGTAATATTTCTGTACTTAATATTCTGGTGTTGGTAAATAAATTTTGATTGTGTTTTGATCTCTTTGATCTACATGTGATACCACTTTTCATATATTAATTTAACTGATTTTGCAGTAGTCCTTTGATATGACTGCACAAAACATGTTTGCTCAGAATAAGCATTATTGAAACTGAAATTAAGAAATTTATCGGTAGTTTCGGAATTTTTAGAAATTATTGAAATTCGTCGTATGTTCCAATAAAAATCTGCACAATGCAACAATATAAATTTTGAAGGTCTATTCATAAAATCTGAAACTGAATAAGTTTGAAGAACTTAATTACTTTTACATCCAGTTTGAAGTTCGTAAAAATTTCTACTTCATTGCACTACATAAATTTTTAATACACTACGCAATTTCAGTGACGGTAAATCGATTATTCGAAAGGGAACTTAATCCTGAGCTAATACCATACCGCCTCGGTGATCGTTTAAATTAAATTCCGGAAAATATCGCACTAACGAGACTGCAGGAAACGAGACGACACATATTTGCAATCTGTGGTAGGCAGTTTCAGATAAAGTTAGCGTTTGATACTTGGAAAGCGCTGGCCCTTGGTACTTTTTCCCTTTCCACGGTCCGACGGGATTGCCTATATAACTTGAATTTATCGAGAAAATTATATTCTCTGTACACACAGCCCCGTGAGAATCTCGCGGATGCTACTTTTGGCGGCGCGTGATTATAAAGTGGAGAAAGTCCCTTATTACATCGGAGTCTGAAAGTAATAAGCCGTTCGGTTTAATTCCCGAAAAAATTCGTGACTAACCACCGAATATATTGGATTAAAAGTTTAATTCCCTTTGCGCCGTTCGTGAAATTTTCCAGCGAATAAAATTTCCTCGCTTTTATTTTTTCTGCCGTCGCGGTTGGCTCGTGTTGTTATCGTCGCAGGAAACGTCGAATCGAGGCATCGCATCGTTTTATAGTCATTGCAAATTTTTCATGTGTCTGCGTGCACGCTTTTTACCAGCGACGCGTTGCTTTGCGATGAATAGATGCACGAGATTAACGGACACGCTTCAAATACAAAAATTTCCCACGATATAGAGTACATACGACCGTTCATTCATTTACCGGAGCGTTTGAAATTTCACCGTAATCGCCGCAAGCCAACGATAAAAGCTCTACCATGGTCCATGGATTCGAATACTCGTTTTCGTTTTTTTATCTTGTTTCAGTTTCTCCTTCTTTCTCCTTGCCCCTTTGCTTGAATTTCCGTAAGGACAAATTAACGCGTTGCGAGATACGCTCGCTACACAGATATTAATACGGTAAAAACTTATAAACACGTATTTTCACTCAAGGGAAGCTCCTGAGGGAGCGGTTTGTAATAACTGGCACGTACATCATGACACGAATTTAATTAAACACACCCTCGGTATTCATTTCGTGTTTCTAATTTATGTATGAGTAACTGCAATGTATAGTGACCGAGATTTCGCGACGTTTCGCTTTCCGGAACGTATTTATCTATGTTTATTAAATGGCGAAACAATGACTACGCTAGCAGCAGTTTCAATAACGTTAGGGCTTTTGGTGTCCTATGCTTTATGCTTCCTCATTATAATCACATCTCACACACTCTTTTACATACTAACATTCATATTTTAAATTATTAATTATATTTCATGTAATAAAATATATTTCCAATTATGAAATATTAAAATATATTTTTTGCATTTATGAGTACGATGCTTTCTTCAAGTTTTATACAAATGCTGTACTTTATACATATGTATTTAACTTATTACTACAGCTGCGGTAATAAATTATTGGTTTTTGTTTCTTTCGTGAACAAATTGTGAAACAAGAATGGTCATATGTGTAAGAAAAATTTTTTATTTTTTACATTTGCAAAATTATAAAATAATATAATGTTTATATCGTAGCTGTATTCATGAATGTTTCCGATAATATTTAGAGAAGATAAAAATTTATTTTTCACTAATAAGGAATTTTTTAATTTTTACTTGAATATTGTTAATTAATATTGTATTATAATAAGCTTACCTATTTTTGAGTTAGAAGTAGAGAGTTTAGCGTTTGCGAAATTGATTGGCATTAATTGTACAACCTATTGACTGTGCTTTGCATGTCAACTGTTTTTGATACGAACATGACGTGCGATTACACATAGAGTAAATTGAAATTGCATATTAGTAGAGTATATAAATTATTATTGTATTCATAAAATATATACATATAAGTCAACGAAAATGTAGAGAAACGAAAAGTTGCTCGCGGCATTTATTTACGAAAACTGACATGTTTGTCTTCGTTGTAACGAAAAATATTACCTTTCATTTTTCGCCGCGGAAAATAGTATATTTTTCTGTTTGGCTATGGAAAATAACACGTTTTGTTCGTTCTTGTGGAAACTTACTATTTACAGCGCTTGCAAAAACTGAATATTTGATTACGAGATAAGGGTGCATTGTTTTTTGCTGTGAAAGCATATTTGTTTATTGTACTTTTTTATGCAGGAAGAACACATCGTATTTACTTCTGTTAAATTAATATATTCTTATTGAATGAAATTCAAGTCGTCAACTTAAAATAGTACCTGTCATTTTATATTTATTTGTTTACATATTAATTTCGATTTTATTCTTGACCAGTGCTATATAGCAAATATTTGTCTTGTATACAACCATACATATAATGCGAGGCGATATATTATCTTGAGATTTAACACAATTTAAAATATGTGGAAATTTAATGTTTGAAGGTTTGACGCGTAACTATACAGCACGTGACAATTTAATGTGAGATCTGACACATGGCAATATAAGGCGTGGTGACATATCGCGTGTCGATTTCACGCATTGCTATATGACAAGTGAAAATTTAACGCGCTTAGATCTAACGCGTAGCTATATAAAGCGTGATGATTTAGTGCGCTCAGATCTATCTTTTGGCAATATAACGCGTGGTAATTTATGATGTGACGATTTAACGCGTTGCTATATGACAAATGAAAATTTAACACGTGAAGATCTAACGCGTAGCTATGTAAAGCGCAGTGATTTAATGCGCTGAGATCTAACATGTGGCAATATAGCGTGTGGTGATACATTGCATGGCGATTTCAACGCTTTGTTATATAACGCATGGTAATTTAACGCGTGAAGATCTAACGCGTAGTTATTGTATAAAGCACGGTGATTTAATGCGCTGAGTTCTGACATATGGCAATATAACGCGGGGTGATGTACCATGTGGCGATTTAACGCGTTGTTTTGCAATGCGTGGAGATTTAAGGCGCGGGGATCTAACATATGTCAATATAACACATGGAAATATAACATATGACAATATAACGTGTGGCAATGTGACGCATGGCAATATAATACATGCAAATATAACGCATGGCAATATAATACATGCAAATATAACGCATGGCAATATAACGCATAATGACATAACTCGTGGCGATTTAAGTGGTTGTCATCAAACATAAAAATTTAACGAATGAAGGTACAATACGTACTTATACAACACGCGCTGAAATCTAACATGTGGCAACATAACATGTGTTGATATATCTCATGGCAATTTCCCGAATCGCTATGTAATGAATGGAGATATAATTCGTGAAGGTGTAACTCGTATATAATGTGTGACATCATAACATGTTGACATCTAACACGCGCCTGTACGACGCAAAGTAATCTAATATGTTGTGATGTAACGCGTAGCTATACAATGCGCAACTGTATTATGTGTGTAACTCATTATTGTACAACATGGATCGATTTGACTTACGGGAATATAACGCATGGTAGTTTAACACTCATCTGAAAATCCTCATTACGCTACCGTGCCTCATCGATACCCAATAAACAGTATAAAATTATAGTCCCGTTAAAATATTCTTTTTTGTATCCGAATTCTTCACAAAGTTATATTTGATACAATCAGAGTTATTGTTTCCTTATTATCTAAACGTATATATCAAAGGAGGTCGGTGTTTCCGACGCTTTGAAGATAAAAAGCAGAAAAATGGATCAAGTGTGCGGAACAGGAAGAGAAATAGCAACAGGATACGTTTAAGCTACAACCGTATATTTGAGTCGTAAAGTGGTGCTCCACGCGTTCAACAGACTGAAACGAAATCAGCTGAATTCGCCTGATTCGATCTCTGTTTTTTCCGTCCTTGCACTTTATGCACACCGCCGCTCGCATTTTGCAACTTGGCTGCATTTCGATGCTTCTGCATCTGCTGCGCATAATACCGAGTCTGTTTTGCGTTGATAAAACGTGTCGCAAAAATCAGAGACTGTTTCACGAGCTACACTTGCTCTCTTTTTGTTCGCCAGATAAATGTTCCGCTTACGTCCAGAAAAATTAGTTGCCAGGTAAATCTGGATTTCGCCGGTATAACTGCAAGCTGTTTAAATTCCTTTTACCTCCGATACGGGAACGTATCGGTCGTTTATTGTTGAAAATCGAAATCGACAGTGTCGATGGCAACGTGCTTTAAATCTGGGTTAGCGTTGGGTTATTTGAGATTCAATTTAAAGCGGTAAGCAATTTAAATTTACTTTATAATTCCATTACAAACTGCTTTACATATGAATTTATGTAGGCTTCTGGTAAACATAATTGAAGAAAAGTTATTTGAAATCAAAGTTATTTCAAATACTGATCATTGATCATAAAACGTATTTTGAACATAAATATTCAGGATTGTTGTTACTAGGTTTTAAAATAATATAATGAATATTTATGTATTTACATATGTATTTACTCAAAAATGAAGGTATTAATATATATTAAAATTAATTTCATTAATAAACTGGTTTCATCTTTTTGATCCACACTGTACCATTTACAAGACATAACATTTTATGAGGAATCGTTGCAGATAAGTGGCAGAGGTTTTAGAAAGAATCGTTCGAATTTTCAGAGGAGCGTTTTTGTTGCAATGTTACAGTATTACAATACGGAG